CGCGGGCCTCTCACTGCTGTCGCCTCTCCCGTTGCGGAGCACAGGCTCCGGACGCGCAGGCTCAGCAGCCATGGCTCACGGGCCCAGCCGCTCTGCGGCATGTGGGATCCTCCCTGACCGGGGCACGAACCCGTGTCCCCTGCATCGGCAGGCGGACTCTCAACCACTGCGCCACCAGGGAAGCCCGGGAAGTCCCTTTTAAAATTGGAAACATCATCCTTAGCACATGGACCACACAAAAGCTGTAACATTTTCACTAATCTTTGTAGGGCTTGAATAGATGTCAAACTACTAGGCAGCTTTTAATTTTTAAATTTTATTTTATTTATTTATTTTTGGCTGCATTGGGTCTTTGTTGCTGTGCGCGGGCTTTCTCTAGTTGTAGCGAGCGGGGACTCCTCTTCATTGCGGTGCTTGGGCTTCTCATTGCGGTGGCTTATCTTGTTGCAGAGCACGGGCTCTAGGCTCAGTACGGGCTCAGTAGTTGCTGTGCACGGGCTTAGTTGCTCCGCGGCATGTGGGATCTTCCCGGACCACGGCTCGAACCCGTGTCCCCTACATTGGCAGGCGGATTCTTAACGACTGCGCCACCAGGGAAGCCCTAGGCAGGCTTTTAAAAGCATGCTTTTGGTCTAGGTATGTCAATGAAAGACCACATATATAGCAGAAAAAAATTTTAAATCTGTTCACATGGATTTTGTCATGATCCACTTAGGAATCACAGCTCATAATTGGAAAAGAGTGTTCTCTGAAGAATCTTTTGCTTTCTCGTTGATCTACGTGCAAGAAGCTCTGAGCCTGGGGTTGGAGGAAGTAGAGCCCAGCCCAGCACACGGTCAGGGTACAGACGAAGGACGCACTGGAGGACTCGGCTTCTTAGAGGAGGGCACCTAGGCGTTGGCTTTTGAAGGATGAATAGGACCTTGCCAAGTAGGGCAGGAGTCTGGGAAAGAGAGCAGAAGAGAAGAAAAGGGTGTGCTAAGTCCTGGAAGTAAAAGAGGGACAACCAGTTTGGGAAAGCATGTCTCTGTGGCTAAAATATGGGGAGAGATAAAGATGAAGTTTTCAATGCTGAGTTGGAGTGTTTGAAATTTATCCTGTATTCACTGACGGACTCATTCATTCAACAAAAGTGCTGTAAACCAACCTGTGCTGGGTGGTGCTGGGGTCCCAGAGAGGCTCAGTGCCCCCGGGTTGTTGGGCTGGTGGTTCAGAATTAGAAATGGACACCCCCACAGTTAGCTAGTGGCAAAGGGAGAAAAACAGGGGGCAGATGTGGGATGGTGAGGAACCATGGGGTGGAGCGTGACGCCTCTGTTTGTTGAATGGGGAGGGAACCTTGATGCTTAAGGAATGAGTAAATGTTCTCTAAGGTATATGGGGCAAAGGAAACAGCATATGCAAAGGTCTTGAGGTGAGAGAAAAGAACTGTTAGCTTCAAGCCAACGCCCAGGCTGCCTGCCTGAGGGGGAGGAAACGAAGGAGAGAAAAAGTGCTAATGAGGTTTCCAGGGGCTAAATCAGGAAAGCAGCGCAAAAGGGTGCGTGCTGCATCGTGAGGGCACGCGGGAGCCATGGCTGACTTCGGAGCATGAGAGAGTTGATGATCTGGGGGCAGCTGGAACACCTGGCTGCGTTTCACAGTCTAACCGAGAGCCAGGAAGGGCGATCCAACAGGAACAGAGGTCGGGGGTGTGGGAGGGGCTGGGGCAGGTGAGGCAGGGGGAGAAGTCAAGGTGTGGGCCGCTCTAGTTGGCACCTGTTTGCTTTGGCCTGATGGCCTCCAGGTGTGGCCTCCTCCTGGGCTGCTGACAACTTAGGAGAGTTTCAAGTGGTGTGGGGAGATGTTTCAAGGCCCCCCCGCCCCAGGCTCTCAGAGGCAGCTGTGCTGCTGAATTTCTTGCCTGGGATCCTGCCAAAGCTTCAGAAGCTCCGCATCTCATCCTCTCCAGAAAACTCCCTCTCAGATGCTCAGATTCAGAACAAAGGGATGGTGTGCCTGGCGTGGGGAACTGCATAGGAAAGGCATAGGAGTGGGGATGAGTAGGGGGGTCTGGGGGTGGGTGGGTATCAAAGACACAGGGAGATGAGAGTGGGGAGGGTGTAGGCTGCAGTGCGCACCTCCGACAGCGCCCCCACCTTCTTTTCCGATAGCCTTGGCGCTCTTGGCCTCTGCAGTGTGCTAGTAACTCCAGTCTCTGTCTTCCCTGGATGCTGTGTGACCCAGGCGGGAGGCCCGCCCCTCTCTGAGCGCCTGGCTGTGACCAGCAGGTCCCATGAGCTCTAAACCACACCTCCCTCTTCTGCCTTTCTCCTCCTCAAAACTCACAGCAACTAATTACAGGGCCCCTCTTGTATGCCAGGTCCCGCAGAACCGAGGAGGGCATGGTTCCTGCCCTCAGGGAGGAGAGATGCGATTAATTGAATAATTGCACGCATGAAACTGGTGACCATGCTCATGATACATCCCAGACCCAGACTCGATAGGTCCCTCTGGGCCTCTCTTCTCCTTCGGAAAAACAGGCATCGCTGATCTGCAACCTGCTGGCCTCCCGGGGCTGACACAGGGGTCAGATTGAAATGACCCCTTTATTTCACTCTTCATTCATTGGGAATTGGTGCAGCCAGTCACTGTTTCAGCTCTGGGGACACAGTGGTGATCAAAGCAGACAAAAATGCCTGCTCTCGTGGGGCTGGTGTCCTGGGGGATGGAGGAGACAGGCAATAAACAGGAGTCAAGAGTATAGGATGCCAGGGGGTGGTACACGCTAGGGAAGAAAAACTCATTCATTCATTACTTTTTAAAAAAAAAATTAATTTTTGGCTGCATTGGGTCTTCATTGCTGCGCTCAGGCTCTCTCTAGTTGTGGCGAGCGGGGGCTACTCTTCGTTGCGGTGCACGGGCTTCTCATTGCAGTGACTTCTCTTGTTGCGGAGCGCGGGCTCTAGGCGCGCGGGCTTCAGTAGTTGTGGCTCGCGTGCTCTAGAGGGCA